TCTGATTCTTCTATCTCTACCTCCTGACTGTTGGAATTATAGGTATGTGCCACCATGAAGAGGGGGACTTTTGTAGCTGAGGCTATCCCTGGAGGTCTGAACAGCCAAGGGCCTGTCTGAAGAGAGTTCCCCAGAACTGGGCATGTCCTCCCTGAAGATCTGGGCAGCACATCTTCATGTCACCAACACTGTAGCATGGTGACTTAATGTTTTGATAACCATACATAAAATGTACGTTATGTGCCAGGCGGCGGTGGCGCACACCTTTAATCCCAGCACTCGGGAAGCAGAGGCAGGCGGATCTCTGTGAGTTCGAGGCCAGCTTGGTCTACAGTAGAGCTAGTTCCAGGACAGGCTCCAAAGCTACAGAGAAACCCTGTCTTGGAAAACCAAAAAGAAAAAAAAAAACAGAAAAATAGAAAAGAAAGTATGCTATGTAATTGTACACATCCTAAAGATTTGTTTCTGTTTACTTACATGTGTGCATGTGTGTACATGGTTATATGTTTACTTACATGTGTGCACGTGTGTACATGGTTATATGTTTACTTATATGTGTGCACGTGTGTACATGGTTATATGTTTACTTATATGTGTGCATGTATGTACATGGTTATATGTTCCACACGCATGCCGGCGCTCATAGAGGGCAGAGAGTGCCAGATCCCCTGGAATTGTAGTTACAAGCAGTTATGAGCCACCAAATGTGGATGCTGGGTACCACATCTGGATCCTCTGCAAGAACGGTAAGCGCTCTAACCACTGATCCAGTCCTCTAGCTGGCAATTATACATATTTTACTTTATGTGTTTAAAAACGTTATCTGAAAAGGGATTTCCTGAGATGTTAAAGGATTCCATGGTGTAAAACAGGTGAACCACTGTGCTGTGGCTGGGCTGAGGTGTCAGCTTGGCACAGCTACAGTCATCAGAGAGGAAGGAGCCTCAGTTGAGGAAATGCCTCAGTGAGATTCAGTTGTAAAGCATTTTCTCAATTAGTGATCAATGAGGAGGGCCCAGGCCATTGTGGGCGGTGCCATCCCTAGGCAGGTACTCCTGGGTTCTATAAGAAAGCAGGCAGAGCAAGCTATGAGGATGGAGCCAGTAACCCGCACCCCTCCATGCCCTCTGCATCAGCTCCTGCCTCCGGGTTCCTCCCTGCTTGAGTTCCTGTCCTGACTTCCTTTGGTAATAAACAGCAATGTGATAGTGTAAGCCAAATAAACCTTCTTCTTCCCAACTTCCTTTGTGGTCATGGTGTTTTGGTACAGCAATAGAAACCTAACTAAGACAATCACTTTCTGATAACAGAAGTATGAGCATGACCTTCTTTCTTAGGAGAAACTGGCTTCATCTTTCCCTAGTACCTTTCTACCCTCTGTTCTCTATGGTCTCCCAACACACTCATCATATCCATACAGTCTCATAACAGACTCAAGTTCAGTTTTCGTTTTCCCAGGGTGCGTTTAGCTACCACCAACGAAGGTGGACAGTGGCATTTACTGAAATCCAGAACTCACAAGTCTCCTACATTTATTGATCTTTCAGTTGGGGACGACCATATAACCAAAGTGATCCCGTGCCAGCCTCCGGGACAACCAGTACCTCCTCCACACGCTTCTCCCCTGCCTCCAGATGGACCCATAAGTAACAACCCAACCTCGTCCCCACGAAGAACAAGGCTCTGAGAAGTGGTAGAGGCATACAATGGAAGGGGCCTGTTTCCATAATCTCTCAGGGAGGGAGAATTTACATACCCTGACCTGGAGTGCGTACCTGTACCACTGGAGTCTGGTTGGAACCACTAGTTAGAATCCGTCTGTCTCAGTGTCTCAGGTTGTGTGTGTGTGTGTGTGTGTGTGTGTGTGTGTGAATACATTTAGTGGCCAAGCTTCCAGACTATCGATCTAGGGTGCCCGCAGCTCATCACTACACAATCCCATCTGAGACTATTCAATAAAGGAACTGAAGCCAGGAAAAGGTCATGAATTTGTCTAACCTCACATGTGATGGCTGAGACTGGGCACACAGTTCCTGCTACCCCTGTCCATTTCCTTTCCCTTATGCTAATCTGCCTTCTACAGTCCTGCCTGTGTATGTTTGTGCTGGACCCAAGAGGCCATGAGCTTTCTATTTCAGCAGGAGGGAGGGGCAGAGGGATGGAAGGGGATACATTTTCTTGGCCTGCATTAGCGAGCCATTAGCTACCCACAGTGATCAAATTATCTGGAATGAACACTCAACTCCACATCACATACATTTAAAGGACAGACTCGCTCACAACTCTTTCTAGCATTCATCACCTCCATTTAGTGTGGGCAAATGTGAACATTCGGTATCGGGGGACCACAGTGTCATTAGGTCCTTGACAGTTCTCCATCATACTCTCTACTAAGGGCTCATAATGATAAGTTTGAATGTGAAGGAGTGTCACTTTGATGGTTCCAGATGACACATATTAAGAAAATAAAGTGTAGCAAAAGCATTGACCTTGAAAATGATAATGACATAAATACAATTTATCATTTAGTGAGTGCAAGTTGTTACTGTATAAGAAACCACACACACACACACACACACACACACACACACACTTATTAAATTGCCATAGTCAGCTTATGTCATGCTAGCAACCAGCTCCCAAAATCTTGGTGGCTTCTGCAACAAATTTTAACTTTTGCTCATCTTGTATGTACTAGGCCCTTAGGACTTTCCACTCCAGGATCTGGGCTGTGGGAGCAGCCCCAGGCAACGTGTCTTTTTAGTAGTGGGAAGGAAGTCAAACACAGAGACTTGCCTTACGTTTCTGTTTGGACAGGTCTGCATCACGTAGCTGACAACGGACAAGGGTGTATGATTCCCCACCCAGGAAAAAGCAACTACTGGAGACAACAATAAAATGCCAGCCCTGCAAGTTCCTCTTCTCGGGAACAATTTGGCTAAGTTCCTTTGTAGAGACCAGAAATATCCCTTCCACTTGGGGCGACAGGAAAAGGCTTTGTTAAAATCTGAGCTTGATTTTGAAGGTTAGGTAGGTATTCGTGGGTAGGAGAAAGAACAGGGAACTTGTCGGCAAAAGGAACCCCAGAGCACAGAGGTAGGGAAGGGATTTAGTTAAGCAGCCTAGCCACAGAGTTGGTGATCTAGAAAAGTGGAACGGAGGGGTGTTTTGATCAAGGGACAAGTTGAATGCTGGGTCAAGGAGTCTGAGTGCACTTGTCTGGAAGCTGGGAGACATCTTTGGGCGAGAGACTGCCATGAAGGAAGGGATCACATCTGAAAACTGATCTGACCAGGAGTGCAGGTAGGCGGAGAGAGGGGAAACTGAGAGCGGGGAGACCGCTAAGGTCCTAGATGTCAGAACTGAAGCAGGAATCTTGAAGCAGGGTGGTGAGAGCTAGAACAAAAGCAAGGTCAGACCTAGAAGTTCAGAACCCGAGGCTTAAGAAGTAAGAGCCGCTTCTATCATCTACCCAGAGGCCCCAAGACAATACAGTAATTAAGTCCATAGGAAAAAGTTGGTGGCGCCAGAAAATTGAGCCCAAAGCCTTGCATATTATTTGGTTCAAAGATTTATCCATGTTTTGCTGCTAAGTATGCGTGCATGTATGTATGTGTACCACGGGCATGCCTGGTGCCCCTAGAATCTGGAAGAGAGTGTGGGACCCCCCAGATCTGCAGTTACAGACAGTTGTGAGATGGCATCTGGGTGCTGGGAATCCAGGTCCTCTGCAAGCACAGCAAAATTCACTATGCAACCCAGGATATTCTTGAACTCTTGGTGATCCTCCTGCCTCAGCCTTCCTGAATGCTGGGATCACAGATGTTTTTGTTGTTGTCTTGCTTTGTTTTTTCTTGTTTGTTTTTGTTTTTAACAATAGCAGGGATAGTGGTACACATCTCTAATCCCAGCATTCTGGAGACAGAAGCAGACCCGTGGATCTCTGTGAGCCCTGGGCCAGCCAGGGATACTTAGTGAGAACATGCCTTATAAAAGAAAGGGGGGAAAAAAAGTCATTCAAATGAAAGCTTCAAGACAAGATCTCCCCTCTCTGGCAAGGGCTGTTTGCTCCTGTTCCTTGCATCTGAACAGGCTCCAGCTGTCCAAGAGCTTTGGGCTTTGGGGAGATGAGAAACAAACCAGCCCAGGGCTACATGGCTAGAAAGAGGACTAATGCCCAGTTTCCACGCCGGAAGCCTAACATCCAGCAGGTGGCCATCTCCAGCAAGCACCTTAAAAATTCAGCTCTCAAAGGTGTCTCAACAAACGAGATAAAAATAACTGTGAAAATGCCTTGCAGTGTGGTAAGCCATCATTAAAACTTATCTATTTGAAGATTTTTCTTCCCTAGGGTCCCGGTTAAGATATCTAGTGGGTTTGAATGCTCCTTGATTTAAAAAAAAATTTTTTTTTGCAAGAAAATTCTAAACTGTATTACGATCAAAGTTAATCTGTTTCAAGAGGATTTGTCAAAGAAATAATTCACTTTGGCCATTAACCAAAAAGGGGGGGGGGGAAGCAAGCAAACAGCGACCCTTGGAAAAGTGGCCTTTATCCAGAGGACCACATTTTGGGAGCAGGAGGCCTCGGGGGTCCAATGAGCCTGCAAAGGTGAACTGAAAAGCCAACAAGGACCGGCTCACCGCTCCGCCTCGAACCCACCCACGGGAACAGAGGGAGGAGACCCCTGGACTAGACAAAGGCTGCAGCCCCAGGAGGCCGGGGTGCGCGTGCGCCACGGAGCAGGCGCGTGCGCGCGGCGGTCAGCGCGGAGGCCCGAGGCGTGGCGGGACCCGGGAAGGGAAGCGAGGAGCCGGGCGAAGCCTGGCGACTCGGGGATGGGGTAGGGAGGGCTGCGGGTCGCTCGCGCGCGCCCCCTGGTGGCCGGAGGGGAGGCGCCCCGCAGGCCTCTGCCCGCCCCTCCCCTCGCGAGGGTCGCGCTCCCGTGGCTCGCGCCTGCGCCGCCCGCCGGCCTCGGGAACGCGCTCTCTCGGCGGCGCGCGCGCTCCCAGTCTCCGCCACCCACCAGCTCCGGCACCAGCAGCAGCGCCGCCGCCACCGCCCACCTTCTGCCGCCGCCGCCGCCACAGCCACCTTCTCCTCCTCTTTCCTCTTCTGTCCTCGCCTTCTGTCGATCATCAGGTAAGTGCCCCCATGCTCTGAAATCTGGTCCCCATCTGGCCCTGTGCGCCATCCTCTTGCCGCCCTTCGCCCCAGAGATGGATTTAGGGCGCTGGGCATCAGTCAGACGCAACGGAGGGGGCCTCGGCGCCAGGGAGCTGGGAAGGAAACGCGTGCAAAAGATGCACGCACGCGGGTGAATGCGTGTGTCTGTGTGTGCTGGGGTCCGCACCATCCATTCCACACAAACGGGGGGGGGCGTCTGTGCCAGCAGGGTGGGGCGCGGGTGGCGGTGACCTAGAGGAGGGGGTTTTTCTGTGCTCTAGATCGCAGCTTTTTGCCGCAATGGGCGTGGGTCTGTGTGTGTGTATGGGGGTCCAACGATGACCACCGAAACTGAACCTGAAGTCAGATTTCTCTGTCCCCGATTGCCATCAGTCCCAAGGAAGGTGTGGATTGGATCCTAGAAAAGATGACTGCCTGCATGCCTCTTCCCACACCTCCCTGACAGGGATTCTGACGGGGCCTTCACTGGCCCTGATTTAAGGCGGTGTCCCGCCCCCTCCCCTTTTCCTCCTTCAGAAGCCGGCAGGGGACATTTGGGGGCTGGGAGGAATCGAGAGGATGGGGAGGGGTCCAGGCGCTGTCACTTTAGCCGCCCTTCCCCCTGAGCGCGCTTGGTACAGTGACAGGGGCAGCGCCGCCGTGCCCGAGAGAAGGTAGTGCGCGGATCCCAATGTGGAAGCTCGGAGGCAGGGATCGATCACCTGGCCTCGCGGTGTCTGCGGGCTTGCCAGCCGCGGTTCCCCGCTCGAGGGCTCGCACTGTCACAGCCCAGCACAGACCTGCGCGAGGGCTGCAGGTGCATTTCAGGGCGGATTCCTTTCTCTGCGTTCTGCTCCCGGCTCCCGGCATGTGCGCTCCCTGCCGGAGGCACGAGCTGGCGCGCAGGGCTCGCCCCTCACTGCGGCAGTGGGTGTGGACCTGGGTGGGAGAGGAGGGGGAGAGTAGGATGTGTCTCCTCCCGCTGCTACCCCTCCCCCGGTTTTTTTTCCCCCTCTGAACGCGAGGTGCCATCTTTTTGCGGCGAGTCACGTCCCTATCGTAGCGTGCCAAGTGCCGTGGCCGGGCTTTGGAGGACCCGCTGAGAAGAGCAGGGGCATGATGAACGTGGACATCTTGGCATTTAGCTTCTGCGCCATGCTCATCCGGTCGTTCACCTGGGGTCTTCGTAGGGAGCTTGCTGCTTTGTTCGTCGAGGTTGTGTGATTTAGGATCTGCCCTCCTGGTTTTTTGGCTTTCGTTCGACGAGGATATTTACCCACGCGCGGCGCGCAACTCCATCATTTTTTCCCCCACACCACTCATTTCAGACCCTTTGTTGGATCTACTGACGTGCTGGGGTCTAGTCACAGCCCCCAGGGCACGCATGGAACGTACGTGACCCCGCGCATCCCTCTCCCCCAGTTCGGCACAGCTTCAGGGAGCGTTAACTTGAGCCACACGGGTGGTATTCGAGGTAGATTCTCGTGTGCAGGTGTCCTCAGAGGAATCACGTCCCTCCCCACATCCAGGGCGTCCTGGGGACAACACCCCACCATGTTTCACTGCTAGGGGCTCCATCCCCCTCGGGAATGGGGGAGATTCGGCAAACTTGGCTTCACCACCACCACCTTTGATACCTCTTGCCTCTCCCGGTGGGAGAGTGTGAGGAGGGGACATGCGATCCCCTGGGATGCAGCGGCCACACCCATCCCTCCCAACCCATGGGGAAGAGGGGGGCGGGTTAGGGGTTGTCATGAGAACCATACCAGCCAGAGAAGGAACCTCTGGGCGTTACCCGGCCCCTTACTCAGCAGAGAGTCGGAATCCTGGGGTAGATTGTCAGTGCCAGTTTGTCCTATGGGAAGATTCCGGGGAAGGAGTATTAGTCTCATCGGCATTGGCAACCATAGCCATCCAGATAGGCACATCTGCTGTATTTTTATTATAGGCATACTGACTGATATTATTTTGTTAATATTATTTAAATGAGGGACTTTCACTTAAAAGTCCACATTTACAACATCCCTTGAAACCGAAGAAGGATGGAAATCGAACAGGTCCTAGCAGCCTCCCCCATCCTGCAGTAAGCCCCAGTCTTCGAGGTTTTCTGGTTAATTCTACCACTGAATACTGGTGCAGGCGTGCAGTTTTGAAACCAAGCGAGCACCTCTTAAGGGCCGAATCGCCCACGTCGGCTGCCCAGCTTGATCTGCATTTCTGAAAATGTCTCGGCTGGGGGTGGAACGCCCTCTCCCGGCCAGACCGCGGCCAGAGGCTGTGGCGTCGTGCCTGGGCCCGCCCGATAGAGATTTCGAGCAGCTGAAGGATGGATTCAAATATGACCCATCCCTCGCCCCATGACGGACTGCTGGGAGCAGGATTCTTAATCCAGAAGAAGCCAGACTCTTGGAATGGGCGCGGAATAGGGAAGCCTGAGAGGGACGTTTTCTATTGTGGCCAGTTGGGCAAAGGTGTCACAGTCCTGTAGGTGGGAGATCGACGGGAGGGGGAGGAAAGAGAACATTTCACCAAGTGAAGAAACAAAGCACGGACCACGCGTCTTCGAACTCGCTCCATTTTGCACTGTATTGGCAGTCGGGTGACATACTTTGGTCGCCAAGGCCTGGGTTGTTAATGAAAGATCATCAGGGGTTGCTGCCTGGCCCTTGTGCGGAGATTGAGAGGTTCCGTTCCTGGCTCGGCCCTAGCTTTAACAAACCTGCTTCACTTCAGAGCTAGGAGTTTGTGCTGAAGCCGAGACTGTGGCGCGCTGAGCCACCCTGGGCTCATCCAAAGGGGTTCAAGTACCCAAAAAGAGCTAAGATTTCAGCCACTACCTCAGCAGGTGGATGAGCCCTTTTATGCCCCCCCGAGGCCCTATTCACTCTCTAGCGCTCAGAAACTTGTAGCTCCAAGTCTTTTTTTCCGGCTGGCTAGCATTGGGTGGATGATGGGAGCTGGAACAGACAAACCATTCCCTCCAGGTCTCTTTTGGCTCCCACCTGGGCTTTTCAGAACTGCCCAAATTTTGCAAGATCCCTGCCCTGCCCCTTCAATTGTTGGGTCTCAAAGCAGTAAAGGAAGTGTGGACCTTCTGTAGGTTAATTCTGTGGTTATAGTTCTGAGATGTCATCTGTGTTTGATGCTGCCGTTTGTGTCTGCTGTAAGAACTGCTTGCCGACTCGCCATTTTGCAAAGCTTCTCTAAATGAATGGTTATCTAGCTAAGTGTGCCCGTCCCTCCCCCAGCTGCCTGCGATGTCTGCTGATTTTTGTGCACCGTTTGCCTTGCTGGCAGATGTGTTTAGATTACAGCAGTAACCTGGCTTGGCTTTGGAGGTCATTTTAGGATGATCTCAGTATTCCTTAGCTTGGCTAGGTTTTTTTTTTTTGGGGGGGGGGGGCTGAGGGAGAGCCAGTCCGTAGTGTGTCTCTCTGGCCCTGCACAGACCCTGTACACACGCTTGCATGGTGGTGGAAGGGCGTGGTTCTTAAGTGGCTTCTAGTGTCAGGCTCTGTTCCCTAGAGACGAACAAAGGAAACAGATAGTGCCCAGGAACTGCAAGAAGAAAACTTAGTAATGGTTTGATTGAGGTGAGGCCAGGCTTGTTCCCACCAGGAAAATGAGCCCTTGTACTGAGCAAGCTCTTTGACCCCCTCGTCCTTGGAAGGCTAGAGAGGGCTCTGGTGCCCTTTGTGTAGACTGACTGTTCCTGCTCCCCCTTTTAACATCAATACATCCAGTCCATTGATTTAAAACTCTAAGGATTTTTGTTTTTCTCTATCTCTCCTTAGCATGTTGTATGTGACTTTTGTGATTCCCTGGCTGTGTGTGAAAAGATACATTGTTTTTCCAATTGAATATATGAACCTTTCCAACAGTGCCTTCCCTTCTGTGTGTTTAGTTAAGATTTTTTGATTCCCCTCCTGAAAAGGAATCACTTCAAAGGAGATTATAAAAAAATAAAATACCCTTAGAGACTTACTACAGAGCTAGACATATAATAGGTATTTGGCCCATAATCGTTTAACAAATAAGTGAATAAAATGGAGAGACAGAGGTCAGGAGGGTATCGGAGAGAATGTGGAGTGGGATGCATAGTCAAGGTCACAGCATCTGGGAAGCCTGGGGACAAATCCAATCTATTTTCCCGCGGGTCCAGCTGGTGCCCAGACAGCTGCCTGTGATCTACTGCTGCTCCCATAGCTTCCACAGGTGGCTCACCTGCCCCTTGTTGGTGAAAAGGGGAGGAAGAGTGGAGAGAGGGGAGAAGAGGCCACCCATGGGGTAGTCACAGTCCTGTTGCAGGTGACTGGAATGCAGGTGGGGACCCTCACCCTCTCCTCTCCCTCCACTGTCCTCATTCATCAACACTTCGGAGACCGTCATTTCTCTTCACCCTCAGAAGCACCCCTCTGGCTACTCAACCCACAGGAGTTAGGGGTATCTGGCCAGGAGAGAAAGAGAGATGTCCCTAACTGTTCAATGGATCTTTTCCTGGAAAATCATGGTCCTCAGATGGTGGCTGAGATGCCTGGAAAGTCGTTATGTATGGGAGGGCGGCTGCTGGCATCTTGTGGGTAGAGGCCAGAGATGCTGCTAAACATGACAGGACAGCCCCCAAATGGCATTGGCACTAGCACTGGCATGGGGAAGCCCTTTTGTAGAAACGGTCTTTCTCTGGCACTTTTGAGCTCAGTTACACGCATTGCGTGTCTTCTAGGAGGTGACCTATGGTCCTCACAGCTACCTCACTTACAGAGTGTTACCATCCCTGAGAGACAGAGATGCTGCAGTCAGAGAGATTTCATAACCAGTGCAGGATGCTCAGCACGTGACACACAGCTAAGCTCCATGAGGTTTAATAGACCTTTGTGGGCTAGCCTGGGGACCTAGTCAGACTTTCCAACCACCCAGTCTTTTTGCAAGAACCTGATTGGATCACAGGCTAGACTAAGTTACAGGTGTATGGATTT